GATGAGCCGGGCATGGTGGTACACACCTTTGATCCCAGCACTTGGGAGGCAGAGACAGGCAGATCTCTGTGAGTCCAAGGCCAGCCTGGTCTACATAGTGAGTTCCAGGACAGCTGGGGCTACAGGGAGACCCTGTCTCAAAAAGACCAAAAAGAAAAAAGAGTAGATGATAGGGAGCTGGAGGGACAGCTCAGCATTCAGAGCATGTACAGCTCTTGGAGAGAACCTGATTCACAGCACCCATGTTTGACTGCTCACGACTGCCTGTAACTCCAGCTCCAGGGGGTCAGATGCCCTCTGGCCTTTATGGGCACCTGCAATCATGCTCTTATAACACACACATTAAAAAAATTTTTTTAAATGATAGAGATAACAGTGGGTGAGACTCGAGTTTAGCCCTAGAATCATACTCAGGGAGCATTGTGCAAGCTTCAGTATAACTTCACCTGACACCCCGGACAGGTGCAGAGCTAGTGGGGTGAGTTGCAGGCAGGGAGAGACTGGGCCCAGGGCCGAGGGCTGATTCCCCAGCTGCAGGTAGAGCTGAAGCGGCTTGGGCCTCCCAGGATGTGCAGGTCTGAGGTGGCAGCTTCTGGCGACACTCCAGCGCCCTTCTATCACCTGAGGTAACCTGAGTGGAAACATGTTCCTTGATAAAGAAAATGCTTTGACTTGCAGGTTTAAGGCAAGACTTTACAAGACTTTCAATGCCACCTCCTTAAAAGCAGCCCTGCAAAGCTGGGTGTGGTATACAGGTCTGGCCTGTCATCCAAGCACCTGGGAGGCTAAAGCAGGAAGGTCACTGAGTCCAAGGCCAACATGAGATACACAATGAGACCCTGTCCCCAAAACCAAACCCTAGGGCTGGAGACATGACTCAGTGGTTAAGAGCATTGTGTTGGAAAAGGACCCAAATTCAGTTTCTAGTACCTACACCGAGCAGCTCACAACTGCCTGAAAGTCCAGGTCCAGAGGGACCATCTGGCTTCCCTCTGGCACCCGAATACACATATACATAATTAAAAATAATTCAAAAAAATTTTTAAAAACAAACCAAACAAATGCTAGTCCTGTCAGCGTATAAAATAGTAAACCACTTTGCAAAAGAGGTTGATAGTTTCTCCTTAAGTTAAAAATACACCTAGTAAGTTGGAGGTGTGGCTCAGTGGCAGAATACTTACTTGCCTAGTGAGCTCTGGATTCCATCCCCAACACCAAAGCAAAGAAAAGAATGAAGACAACAAAAATAGCAATGAGAGAGAGAGAGAGAGAGAGAGAGAGAGAGAGAAGAGAAAACATCCAGTTATGCCACTTTTAGATTCTTGCTCAACAGAAAGACTATAATGCTAGCAGTGTAGAGGTGGGAAGATGGCGAGTTTGAGGTCAGTCTGAACATGGTCTCAAAAAACAAAACAGTGAAAGGAAGAGATAGACCTAGTGGTGCAGTCTCCAATCCCAACACTCAGGAGGTAGAGGAGGATCAAGTTCAAGGTTTTCCTTGGCTGCATATGGAGCTAGAGGCCATTCTGAGCTGTAATGAGAACTTATCTCAAAAAGAAAAAAATAAGAGACAGAATACATGGCTATAAAAAGAGTCATATATAAACGCTCACAGGTGCCTTTTTCATAGCAGGCAAAAAAAGAAGCCAGGAGGGCTGGAGAGATGGCTCAGAGGTTAAGAACACTGGCTGTTCTTGCAGAAGACCTGGGTTCAAATCCCAGCACCCACATGGCAGCTAACAACTGTCCGTAACTCCAGTCCCAAGGGATCCAACAACCTCTTCTGACCTCTAAAGGCATTGCAGGACATGGGTGCACTTACCTACATGAAAGCAATACACACATACACATAAAATTAAAAAAATAAATTAGAAAAAAAATAAGAAGCCCCAAATGTGTATCAGCGGCTGGTGAATAAGGCAAAGGTAGCCCATTTACACGGTGGAGGGTTGTCAGAGACCAAAGACAAGGCCCACTGAGCCACACAGTAACGACGGACTGCAAAAATACGGTTCTTAACCAGAGAATCCAGACACAAAGGAGTGTTGGCAACTGTCATCCCATTGACAGGACATTCTAGAACTTGCCAAACTACAGAACAGAAATCAGGTCGATAGGGGAACATTGGGAATATCTTTGAGAATGATAGGATCTTTCTCAGGGAGGTAGAGTCCTGAAAACTTGGTGGCCACCAAGCTGCTCCAGCCAGTAGCTTTGGGGTTCTTTTTTTTGTCTTTTTGAGACAGGGTCTCCTGTAGCCCCAGTTGTCCTGGAACTCACTACGTAGACCAGGCTGGCCTTGAACTCACAGAGATCCGTCTGCCTCTGCATTGTGAGTGCTGGTATTAAAGGTGTGTGCCACCAGGCCCAGCAAGATTAATTTTTTTTCATAATTTTATGTATGAGTGTTTACCTACACATAAGTATGTGAGCCACATGCATGCAGTACCTGAGGAGGCCAGAAGAAGGCGTCAGATCCCCTGGAACTGGAGTTACAGGTGGTTGTGAGTTTGGAAACCAAACTCAGTTTCTCTCAAAGAGCAGCAAGTGCTTTTAACCACTGAGCCATCTCTCCAGCCCTTGACTTTCAGGTTCCTGTGTCCCAAATTCAAAGAATGAAATTCATGGACTTCAGAATCCTCTGAGTTTTAGAGAGAAGTTAATTATTGATTCATCAGTGGACTTTTAAGAGAAAGAGAAAGCCATGTTGTTTGAGTTAGGCATCACGGTTAGCCACATAGTGGGAAGGAAAAGGAAAATTACGAGTTTTAAGTCAGGACTCACATGGCACCTGTGTGTAGGTCAGAGGACAAATTGTGGAAGTTGGTTCTCTCCTTCCACCACATAGATCCTGGGGCTCAAACTCAGGCCTTCAGGCTGGTGCCTTCACGGGCTGAGTCATCCAACCTGGGTCCTCTGCAAGAGCAGCCAGTGCTCTTAATCACTGAGCCATCTCTCCAGTCCCCCCAAATTTTATTTTTACTTATGAGTATGTGTGTCTGTCTATGTGAGTGAATGACACATATGTGCAGGTGCCCATGGAGCCAGAAGAGGGCAATGGATCTTCTGAAGCTGAAGTTACAAGTGGCAGTTCTGCGCCACTTGAGATGGGTGCTGGGAACTGAACTCATGTCCTCTGGAAGAGCAGCAAGTGCTTTTAATTGCTGAGCTGTTTGTTTTTTTGTTTTTTTGTTTTTTTTGAGACAGGGTCTCCCTGAAGCCCCAGCTGTCTTGGAACTCACTATGTAGACCAGGCTGGCCTTGAACTCACAGAGATCTGCCTGCCTCAGCCTCCCAAGCACTGGGATTAAAAGCATGTGCCACCACGCCCGGCCTGATTTTGTTTTTAAATGCTGACAACTTGGTGGTGTTGGGGTTGAACCCTGGGACCTGCACATGCTAGGCCATCATGAGCCACAAGCCCAGTCACTAAAACGCTCACCACTTAATCTCTTTAGGCCTTGTCACAGGTCCCTGGCATCAAGGTGGCTGCATCAGTGTTGTGTGTGCCCTCAGGCACACAGAAGATAAATTCAGATGATTGCAAGGCAGGCCTCACTGGGTTCACCAAGAGACTCGGGAACAATGCAGCTGGACTGGTTCTGCATGGGGAGTTGGGTGGGTTTTCTCAGGAGGGTAGAAAGGAAACATGAGAATGAGCGAATAGTCCAATGGGCAAGAGTTTGGGACAAAGCTGGGCAGTAGAAGAGGTGTGGCTGGAGAAAGCCATGGGCAGCCTGGATTCAGCCCCAAGTCCCACTGAAGATTCTGGGGCCACTAAAGCAGCCACTGATCTGACTACCTTTGTGGGGTTTAGGGAGAGAGGTATTTGGGTTTGGGTTTTTGAGACAGTTTTACTATGTAGTCCAGGCTGACCTGAAACCCGATATGTAGACCAGGCTGGTCTAGGACTTGGCATAAACCCCCCGCCTTGGTCTCCCAAACTGATGGGGTTGCAGGATGCACCACTGCACCTAGATCTTTGTTGTTTATTTGCTTTTGTTTTCTGTGAGACTTTTTTACATTAACTTTATTGAGTTTATTTATTTGTGTGTGTGTGGGTGTGTGGACTCAAGCTGTCC